TGTTTAATATCATAAATAGTAAAATATTGCATGCTGCTAACAACATAACATAAAATCAAATTCCATTAGTGATGAGCAGAAACTAGAGACAACAACAGCATTTTTGCACCATTTTTTGTTTAAATAAACACACAAACCACCTCCGTGAGACTTGCCGGTCACTGAAACTTTCTTGTCCACGTGGAAGGAGGTCAGTCCATCTAGCTGAATGGACGTATCCAAAATATTGTAATTTAGCCATGTTTCAGTAAAAATAAAAATGCAGCGCTCCTTAAACTCTCACTGAGCAGCCAATTGCAATATTATATAATCCATCTTGTTTTCCAGGGAACAGACATTGGTAAGAAAAATTGATGGGAGAGCCAGTCTGTTAGGGTTAGCTTTTAACCTGGCATGGATCCCAGACCTCCTGCCTCGTTTGTGTCTCCTTTCATACTGATTTTAGCGCCTCCTCATTCGGACACCTGCAACAGGTTGCACTGCTCTCCCAGGACCTGATTCTCACAGTAAGCCAAGGCTACTTAGCTTCTCTGTCAGCTTCTTCATCAGAATACTAAGTGGGTAGTCCTTGCATCATTTTTCAATTTCCAGCATGGTCAGGCAATCGGAAACGTTTGAAAAAATTGGACAAGAGACAACATTTCCTCACCAACAAATAAATAAGGCACTTTAATGTGCCAGGCCAGATACTTGCATGTGAATAAAGTTCACCAATGTCCATTCTCTGTCCATACAGTAACTACAGTATACCTGCTGTATATGCTACCATCCATTGTTAATTACCCCTGGTCCTGGAGGGCCTCTTATGGCTTTTTTTATCTTTGATTCCTATTGACTGATGATAAGATGCTCTTCCACTTAATTATGACTAAAGACACTCAATAAACAGCGCTTTTCTCATTAAGATTTATGTGTTCACTATAAATTAACTGCAGCCCTCCTAGACCATGAGAGAATATCACTGCCTCCATCACTTTGACCACTGGGTGTTTCATATCATGAATAGTAAAATATTGAATGCTGCTAACAACATAAGATAAAATCATCTTTGTAATTGAGACAGGTTGGACCAGCATCTATAGGATCATCCATAATAAAATGCTTTCCATCTAAACTCCATCGCAGTTTCAAATCTTCAAAAAGAGGTATGCCACCATTTGCACAGCCTAAGAAGGTGCAGACCCATAATCTCTAATGCATTCCCTAAAACAACAAAATTAAACAAATAACCTACATAAACTATGATTAGGAGCTCAGTGACTGTAATATAATAAAAGTAATTGGATTCCAATAAAAGTGACAATGTATCAGTTTTCTTTCCTTGCAAGCTTATGCAATCTATATAATAGTGTAAGTCAGTAATACAGTAGTAAGTCTGTCTGTGGTAGTGGGTGCAGGAAGATTAAAGTATATCCCAGCCTTTTGAAATATATTTTGCAATGATGATGTATAAATGAATAAGAAGAAAAAAACAAAGGACACACAATACATATACCAGAAGGAGAAGAATATAAGAACCCCCTGGAAAACTTCCTTTTTTTGATAACACATCACATCCACTTTAGCTTAAGGTGAAAGTCAAACTCCATTTTTCAACTGTTGGAATGCCATGTCTACACAGTGTTCAGAAGATATGATATACTGTATTGTAATCTGTATTTTATTTCCTACAAAACAGTTGGAATCATGCAAATGATACTGGTACATTTTGATTAAGAAAACGGTTGGAATGGTAATATCTGGAGATTTGAATATGTCTTCAGGGAACATAGCCATACTGCCAGGCTACGACAACAGAGTGATTCACATAAAAGAGGTAAGGAATGACAGGGTAGAGACAACCTTACAGGTTGTCTGACAGTTTTTACTGCCTGTTTCATTACAATGTGGCATGATAATCACAGAGGCAGAGAAAGAAAGTGCAGGCATCCACTGGATGCAGGGGAGAGATTCATATTAATTTTATCAGATTACTAAAGGTTTGTGATTACTTGATTATTATCATTTAAATTAACTGAAAGTAAATGAATTAGTACTTTAATTATCATACTTATCTTTTAACCATACATATGTAGCGGTGAGGCTTATTAATAAGGCAGAATTAAGTGTTTCTGAGCTTTCCCAAATGAGGCCCCATTTCTCTGTTCATCTCTGTGGTGCAGCCACAGAGAAACTATTCATGCAGGCTGATTTAAGGTTTGATCAGGACAGCTCCCAAAGGGGGATGCACTTAGCTAAGCCTGGCTATCATGATCAATTGTCATCCATTGGCGCCTATCTGTCTAGGGAGTGCCAGATGGACATCTGGACTGCATTCCTAAGTGTCAGGAGTAAGTGACTCATATCTCACCTTGATCAACCAATCAGGGACTGGTAGGGCCGAGTAACCCACGTGGGACTCTGATGCCCATGGAACTTTCAGCCAATAAACGAGCTGAAGTTCCTCCAGGTAAAAACAGGCAACACAGAGAGCCTGGGAGATTCAGAAAGGGAGATTCAGTAAGATTCAGTAAGATTCTGGAGAGGATTCTGTGGACTGTTCTAAAGGGAATTCAAAGGAGAATTCCAGGGCAGGACGGCCCAGGAGCAGAAGGCTCCCAAGGGCAGGACATTCTCGCAGCGCGCCTCCTGACCATCCTGAGACTCAGCCCGGACAACCACGGAACGGCCAGTGTGTCCGAGTGCCAGAACTTTCCTTTGTTCTAAGAGTCGAGAGCGGAGGTTGCCAGAGAGTAACCAGAGGATCCACCCGAGGTTAGCACCAGCAGCAGGCCTCGTGAACAGGTCGGAACTGTGGACAGCTGAATCACTATTCAGAACTAGCTCTTCACCAGGAATGAACCGGTCCTCTTCCTGACTTGCTGGGACCCACAGTCATCTTTTCTCCTGTGCACAAACTTTGCTAGTTAAAGCCAACACTAACTAGCCGGTCAGTGACCATCAGCAGCGCACCGTTGCAAACCGCACAGCACAGCCTGGCACCGAGCCAGAGAGCACGGATTGGACAGCAACAGCCTGCAACTGTTTCTTTGTGTCCGCAGGAGATCTGAATCCCCAGAGATTGGATGAGTATTCAACTTCAATGCATTACTGCTCGAGAATTCAATTGTTATCCCAACCAGTTGATATCAATTTAATTCCTAAGAGTTATGTACTTGTTTTGAGTATCTAATGTAGAAGTTATAACCAGTAACGGTCTTAATGAATGATATACTGAACGTATGTCCTCTTGATGTGTAACTCTTTGTAACTGACTAAATATATACCTTTTGTATTCTGATAACCCTCTCGATAAGATCTGTTAGGTTTATATGCATATTTTATTTATTTATAAATGTATCCTCGCGTATTAGTACCTGTGTGTGTGCGTTGTTTGAGTTATGTCGCATGGTTGGATTCTAAAGCCATCAAAAGAATCAACTTTGTGATTTACTGTTACAATTAATAATTGTAAACCCTACAGAACTGGTGCCTTCAGAGAGCCACTACATTTACATTTTGGCTACGGCAACATTACAACTGTTATCATCTAGGTTAAAGTATTTTTTCTTTCAGGAAATCAATGTGATGCACAGATGTACAGAAGAAAACAGATGAAAAATGCAGTCCAATCCTTGTAAAAATATATGTTTAGTACTCCCCTTGAGAATATATTGTTTTCAGAAGAGAACAGGGAGCTCATCAATCCTTCAAATACACTCTGCTGCAAGGAACATCTGTGCCATGCAAATACAAACTACAACACAAAATTAAAAACTAATACATTTCTGAATACATTTTAATAAATAATACATTATATTTATTGAAAAACATAAGAAAAATGTTTATGATTTAGTCACATTTAATGTTAATTTACAATAATATTTGACTTTCTACTGCCAATTCTTGTTGAAACAACATGTACAGAGTGAGGGGCAAAATAATAGACATATAATAATAGAGATATGGGCCCAAGGTATGGAAAAGTTTATACCTTTTGCATCTGTGTTGTATCTTGGTACCAAAAATAAAAGTACCAAGAAACTATGGGGCAGTTGATAATGGCACAATTGATAAGGTCACTGAGTTGATTCAGTACAACTGTTTTCCATTTTCACTAAGGGCCTGTACATAAAATGTTAAATTGTATTAAATAAATGATTAAAAAAAAAATTAAATAAATGATAATTATTATTAATAATAATTGCTTACTCTTATACAGCACTTTTCTTGATACTACACTCAAAGTGCTTTACAAGTAATGGGGACTCCCCTCCTCCACCACCAATGTGCAGCCCCACCTGTATGATGCGGCAGAAGCTATAGTGCACCAGAAGGCTCACCACACATCAGCTACTAGTGTAGAGGAGAAGAGAATAATGAAGCCAATTCATAGATGAGGTTTATTAGGAGGCCATGATTGGTATGGGCCAATGGGAAATTTGGCCAAATAATAAGAAAACCCTGGGTGTCTGGTTAAGTAGGACTTGCAGAGCATGCCATGAAGAAACTTCACTGGGAGTCAGGCATTTGTTTTTCCCTTTTGTTCAATTACTATTTCCAGTCTGGTATTTTGTTGAATTAAATGTCGTGAAGAAACCTCAGAGACTTGAGTCCTACTGTAATTCTTCTTTTGTGTTCAAGGACAAGTGAAAGAACGTGCCTGCAGTAACGAGCTACCTCAAGTCAACAGATACTTTATACATACATGTAAATGCAATAATAACATTTTAATAACTGATGGAGCAATACACAAATAAGAAATGCTGTGACTAAAGTTTTGTCAGTTTTAAAAACTTTGCTGACCTCAGTATGTGATTTTCAGATGAAAGAATCACCTTTAAAAAAGTTATTGCAAGCTTTGTTCAGTATTATATACAAAATGTCAGTGAAATATATTTGCCTACTTCTTCATAAACAAACAATAATATGAAAGTGTTCTATGATCAGTATTTGAAGACATTAATCCAAAAACTGTATATAAAACAGAGACTCACAAAACAAATAAGCAAACATTACAGTTGCATTCAACAATATTTTTAATGCTACATGTAATACACAGAAGCATGAGGACATTTTTATCCATACTTGCCAAAAATGCCATTAATAATGTCCTCAAAAAAATTCAATTCACCAATAGTAATACCTTTGTATAAAATACAATTACTGAGGGCAACCAAATGCCTTGATTTCCAATGTAACTTCTTTAATGTTTTCACATGTGGATTGAAATTGTGCCTTTTGACACTCATCATCGGATGGCCACCACTCCAACCACGTTCCACCACCAAGAAGGTAGAGCCACCTGTGACAAAGGGGAGAACAGAAACAGACTTTTGTTTTGACTTTAAATTGAACAATTCTACTAGAAATGCTCCCCTGGGTCTGATTGTTTTTTTTTATATTCATCTGTAGTATAAAATACCAAGTTAAAAACATAATACATCTCAAAGGAGTGCAGGTATAGAACCTTTTCACTTTTTTCCCATATTGCTCTGAAGAAGAGTTCAACAAAAAAAATACCCAGTAGATGTAAGACGTACATTGAAAACAGCTTGTGTTAGGATGCTTCTCTGACCATTCTATTTAGAATGCCAATATTTTAGACCTCTATTTGGGTTTCCAAATTCTTCCCATTTGCAGAGAAGTGAAAGTATTTTAATTTTGGCAAAGCAAACTGAAAAACACACTTTATCCCTTCTGCAGAAAGGAAACTTCATATGTATAATCATGTAAGGTGTGAAGGTCTAACATACATTATATACATGCAAACTTCCCATTAACTATGCTACTTTGGTCCAGAGCTATAAGAAAATATTGCATCTCTTTGTTTACTGTAAGGAAGCCATACACCTTTTTCTTCGACCATTAAATCCAGGAGGATGTGACTTAATAAAGCTGGTTGCACAACCCATTTGACATTGAAGTATTGCTTGAAGGCATTTCAAACATAACCTTTACTTATCAAGTTCCAAAACAATTAGACACTGCACTACAATTTTCAAAATCAAACAGGATCCATACTGTATGTGTGTTCTAGAAAAAGCAATTAGTCAAAAATAGGCAGTGAAAAGTTTTACTATCCTGAAGTAAGAGACAAGATGTAAAAAGGGTTAACTTAAGTCAGTTCTGCCTGAAAATTAGACTTCTAAGCAACAGGGGTTTATGGCAGGAAAGGGGGTTAACTGATAAGGATTCCAGATGCGAGCTAGGAACCCCGTGGGGGCGTAATCTTAAACTGACCATTTGGCCAGGGTCTTTTAACTGGCCAAATCCCATGACTCCCCCCCCTACCATAATACCGAATGATGTCTGAAGCAGCACGCAAGGACTATATAACCTAAAAGTTTGTACCGGCACATCGAACAATACTTTGGTTTTGTTGTTTCTTGCGGGAAACAAGACTTCGGCTTTATTGTTCCTTGCATGCAATAAACTCATCTGTTTTACTTCATCTCGGGATCCAGAACCTTATTCTTTCTGTTACAACAATCCTTTTCTGCATCTTACTTGTGAAATAGATTTTTATAGCAGTGTCATCACAAAAATTAATCTTTGATGCCAACTACAACCAGAGCATGTCTTAAGATGCAGGTTTGTACAAACACAACAAATGCACAACCATGGTTTGAACAACTTTTAAAGATTGTGCAAAGTCAAATGAATATTTACATGAATACATTGATTACTGCTTTAGTATTCTGCTTTTTGTTCTAATATTTGTGCTTTTACAGTACAAAACTATTGTATACCATCAACTAATAAACTGATTATTAATACAATGTTTATTATTATTGATTATTTCCCTAGTGATTATATTCAAATATTCATAGTCAAAATAATATACTTACATTTTAGACAACAGTAAAGTAAAAGAAAATTATTTGAAAACTGACCAGCTGCTGCCTCCCAAACTTAATCTGGGTCCAGACTGAAAAGGGTTAATATTACAACCAAAATTGTTAAGCACCTCATTACAACAAGGAAAAAAGGAAAACTCTCTGTATTGAACCTGTACTGTACTGTATATGACCCCTTGAGAAACTCACCCATTTGATGTTTTCATTAGGTCATTAATTTTTCCCATGATAAGATATGTTTTACTCTTTTCAAAACTTGAGGATCTTCTGCAGTTGGAAGGGGCAACAAATTGCCTCCTCTTTCCTTGGACTCCTTCGTCTGTTCCTAAAAAACGAACATCTCAGGGGTAGTGGAGTAAACTGCTAAGTTGTGAGGATGACATAGCACTACATACAGTACTTGAAAAAAATACTACATTAACTCAGGTAAAGAATACTTCCCTTTAATTACTATGGCTAATTTAACTACAGTTTAATCATTAATATTAAAGTCTTATTACAGTGACTAAATAATTGTTTAGAAAAAAGTGATAAGAGATACAACCTTAAAAATCAAAACTGCCAGAATACTTAAAAGAGCACTCTCAAATTTGTGTCTAGGTCCACACCAGCTCATAGATAATGCAAAAGCTAGAAAGATTGACTCATCAATTATGTATTGTCTTTGATGTCCTTTAGAATAAGATTTCTACCTAGAAAAAGTTAAAAGGATTTTGAATTCAGAAATTATCATAGAAACAGCTGGTAGAGAGCTACAAACACATTTACAGATTAATCTTGAGAAGCATTATTCAAAACATAATTGCAAAGCGAGGCTCAGGTTTTATAAATATAAAGCATAATGTAAAATCTTAATTATGTTACACTTATGTTAGTGACAATCTTTAAAGTGTCACTAAAAAGTTAATAAAAATTAAAGGACATTTTTACCTTCTTTGATCACATCCTCAATGAGCATGGTGTACTGGTCATAAACAGCAGTTAGGGAAGAATCAATCAGCTTGGCTTTATAAACTACAGGAAAAAAAATCCAGTCAATAGAGAACAGGATTATTCCAAGACTTGCTTTTTGATCAGGATGTGATTAAAAAGCAAAGATCATTCTAAAATACCCATAGTAAATTCCTTTGTTTTTAAAAGTTGATTATTTCCAAATTTTCCCTTTCAATCAGTTTTAGTTAGTTGTACAATATTAGCTATTTTAAATTGAAAATATATTTACCATAATCCATGCCAGCCTCACATGCTTTCTCAAAGCGAATATTTTGGTCTATATCAGGATTGTTTTGTTTCAGGATATAGCAGTTGTCTGTGAATGAAAAACAAATTATTAGGTTTTTATTATCTACTTGTATATTTTACAGTAGACTACAGGGTAACAGGTAACAGATCTTTAGTCCAGGCCCAGACCCTAGGTAACGTTATGCATTTTCTATAGATCATCCGATTTCCTTCCACTGTCCAAAGACATGCTGTCTAGTCTGTCATCTCTACAATGTCTCCCATGTGTGTGCCTGAGTGAATGTGTGTGTTATGTGTAATGTACTGAGGTTTTTTTCAGGGGAGTGTCTTGCCTTGTGCCAATTGTGTGAGGCTCCAACTTTCAACAACAAGAAAAGAGCATGTCCAAATGTCAGAGGTGCTTCCGAAGAAAACAAAACATACAAAATATTGTACTGGTCGATTGGTCGTAGTCCATATACAGCCAAAATGTTTCAGCACAAAAGTTTTGACAAATGTACTTGGATCACTAAGAATCCACTTTATATAGAAATTCCACAAGCATCAACATTTCATGTGAGAGGGGAATGCCCCCTTTTTAAATTTAAACAACCATAATGAATAAATAGACCTACAGATACTGCCATTCAAAGTGCGCGGCACAAACAGGTACCACAGGCATTTGGCTACGTCATAACGCGTCATACCGCGGTATGTGATTGGTTGACACATAGGGGCACTCGTGGTGCGTTGGTCGGTCGTGGAGAGATTTAAATGTCTTTATTGTGCACATTTTAGTATTGAATATTTATATGGAATTTTACTACTGAAGGGAAATTTTAGTAGCTGAGCATAAAAAGAATAGGAGCATAACGCGTGTGAAAGCCAAAAACGATATTAATTTTGGAACATAAACAAACAGTGTTATGTAAACTGTATATGGCTGGTCTCGGTACTTTAAAGAAAAAATACACACCAGTATTCCATTTCTCCCTAAACATTTTAAGCATCAATGTCTATAACCAACATGTGAAATAACATGTGTATAAAAAGTGGTAGTTTTAAGCTTTTCTGCGAATAGGCTTGATACCGGAGTAAACAAGCATACTTTTAGAATTTGATTAATAGGGAATATAATATGGAATCGCGTATCTAAAGAAATTAATAACGATATAATTATATTCATGTACTGCAACACAAACAGTAGTAAACAGTAGTAAAACAGTAGTAAAAGAGAATTAGCTCACTGATACTATAGTTTTCTGTTGAGGCTGTGAACATTCTCACAAGTTGTGGTCTGCACCAAGCACATGTTTTAAAGAAGATGGGACTTTTTTAAATACATTTCAGAAAAGTGTAATCTATACTGAAAAGCTGTATTTATTCAATTCAAGCATGGTAAAAAAAAGTGGCTTAAAAACGACAGTGGAGGCTGAGATGTAATTGAGATGTACTTGTCACATGACTGCCTCCGTGGCATGCTCACTTAAGTGACTGACTTATATACCTGAGGCTGAGCATTCAAACCCAGCTATCGCCATCAGTTTTCTTTTAACAAATAAACTTAAAAAAATAAAATAGCTAATATTATTGGCATTATATTGACATTTTTTATATTTCTAAATATCACAACATGTTATTGTTGTTTTTATCCTGTAAAGTGCTTTGGGAAGCCACCTTTAAAGGTGCTATATAAAGGTGCTGATTCTTATGGAATGTGTTTTCTTTCTTTTTTTTTTCAGCATTGAATAAACCTATTACTTGATTCTTATGGAAACCCGGTTCCGCCAGGGATTTAAAAAAACACCACATCTCCTCCCGTTAAAAAGAGGAAACACTAACTCTTCGGTTCACAGCGAAATTTCACCAGAGCCACCCACTAATAGTTTATGCTAACACCTAACTTTCTTAACACATGGTGCCCCCAGGGGGGGTTCCAATTAGTGCTTGATTATGCATCAGTGAAAAACCGGAGGTTTAAAAAAGAGAACTAGCTCACTGATAGTTTTCAGTGAGGTTTCGTGAAAAAGCTACAGGCAAAGTCATCTATACAAAAAAGTTGCACTTAATACCACTCAACAGCCGGCTGGCTGTGCCAAAAAAAGATAAAAATTGGTTTAACAGCTCTGTTGTTTTTATCCCGTAAAGCGCTTTGAGAATCAATCTTTAAAGGAGCTATATAAAGGCATGTATGGCTGATCATGGTACTGTATTTTAAAGAAAAAATACACACCAGTATTCCATTCCTCCCTAAACATTTCTTACATGTGGTTATTTTGGAAACGTTTTACATGCCCCTTGCTCCTTCTGACCATGTCACTGCGCATTTAAAAGCATACTTTTAGAATTTGATTAATAGGGAATATAATATAAAAATAAAATACTAAAAATAAGATACACTCTACAGACATTCACAACAGCGACTGTCAGAAGACAGGACTCAGCGACTCAGACACCCGTTGAATGGAAAAGGGCACTTTAATTTTCTGTACAGCTAGTACAGCACCCCACCATGCCCGCACGCCAGCAGAGAGAGACACACACACAGTTTTTCATTAATACGGTATTATATGGTAACTTGAGTTACACCGCGACAAGCACTTGTCAAAAAGTGATTGTTTTTACTTTGTCAGCACCCAGACAAATCCAAACGCGTTTTTAATAAAATGCTTTTATTCATTCTTAATTTGATTCACATAACTCACATTCCCGAAGTTATGTGAGTTAGATTATGAATGAATAAAAGCATTTGATTAAAAACACATTTGCGTTTGTTTGGGTGCTAAAAGGTAAGACGTAAAGGTCTTAGTCTCCATACTATGGTCGCTTAACGCAAGCTTTTTTAAACCTTTTCACTGATGCGTACAGTGTGCGTATACAGTACTACTGTTTCTGTTGCAGTACATGAATATAATTATATCGTTATTAATTTCTTTAGATACGCGATTCCATATTATATTCCCTATTAATCAAATTCTAAAAGTATGCTTGTTTACTCTGGTATCGAGCGTATTTGCAGAAAAGCTTAAAACTACCACTTTTTATACACGTTATTTCACATGTTAGTTAAAGACATTGATGCTTAAAATGTTTAGGGAGAAATGGAATACTGGTGTGTATTTTTTCTTTAAAGTACCGAGACCAGCTATATACAGCTTACATAACATTGTTTGTTTATGTTCCAAAATTAATATCGTTTATGGCCTTCACACGTGTTATGCTCCTATTCTTTTTATGCTCAGTTAGTAAAATTTCCCTTCAGTGGTAAAATTCCATATAAATATTCAATAATAAAACATGCACAATAAGGAGCTATATAAAAAATAAAATATTTTTGTTTACAAAGACGGTTACAAAGAATGTGGACCAGGGCAATACTAGTTTACAGCTTGTCCAGGGTCATTCATTATTAATACTATTAGTAATATCTTCAGTAAAGACTTTGATGGCGACAGCTCAAACATGAGGGGTTGAGCTTTAATAGCTCCACCTTGCGGTAATTCTGAATACTATTATTTTACTTGCGGTACCATGCGGTATTATGCGAGAATATACGGTATTAATACGGTATTATATGGTAACTTGAGTTACACCGCGACAAGCACACCGCATAATAACACGGTATCGCCCGCTTGTTTTGAATGGCTGCATCTGTATCTCCTTTCCATCCACCCGTTTTCTATCCACTTTTTCCAATACAGGGTCACAGGGGTGCCAGGAGCCACGAATGCCCTGGATGAGATGCCAGTCCATCACAAAACAGATGGACAGAAACACAAACATGCACTGACACCAAGGACAATTTCTCCAGAATCCAATTAATATATCAGTCTTTGAACTGCCGAGGAAATTGGAGAACCCAACAGAAACTGACATGAACATGAGACAATATTTAAATCCCATGGAAATAGTATCTCAGTAACTGAATCCAGCATTGCAGTACTATTAGACAGCAATGCTAACCAGTGCACCACTATGCCATCCAGTACAAATTCATCCGTCCATTTTATAACCTCTTTTTCTAATTTAGGAACTAGAGCCTATCGCAGCAAGCACTGGATAGAAGGGACACCCTGAACGGGACACCAGTCTATCACAGGGCAGACACACATACATGCACAATTTCCCAGAAGTCAATTAACCAACCAGTATGATTTTGAACTGTGGAAGGAAACTGGAGCACCTAAAGGAAACCCATGGGAACACAGGGAGAATATACAAACTCAACACAAATAGCACCTTAGGTCCAAAATTGTTTTATTAAGATGTTAAATGAATGGATAGTGATTAAATTTCTCATTCAGGGAACCAAGGGTTTGTTTGTTTTTTGGTTTATTGTTGTCTTGCAGTGTGCTGAACTCTGTAAAACAAAAATGGATGCTATTTTTGTTTTTTTGACTATTTGCTGTGAATGGCACTACTGTATATGGAAATACATCAAATTAAATTGATTTTTTTGTTTGCTAGAAAGACGTACGTGTGCACATAGGTTCATGTAAAATGTATGTATAGCAAATAGACATCCATCAGCATCAATGTCATGAAATTGATTTAACCTAACAGTTTGGGAACTGTTAAAATTGGTACATTTTTAATTTACCAATAATGTAAACAAATTTGTTTAATTTGTAAATATTCAAGTGAAGAATACATAAAGAAACTGTTACTTCAGTTATAAATAATATTGTAGCACCCTCGCCAAGTGCCTTAGCGGAAGCGCACCCAGAAAATGAATACATCACAATGCATGCTGGGAATCGCCACCAGGCCACTAGCTGACCCTGGTTATGTAAATGTAAACAGCGTGTTGTTGTTGGCCCTGTTTTTCCTGAGGGTTGTGTCCACCCTAAACCTGTGTACAGGTTCCTATTGCTGCCAATATTGCTGCCAATAGTGTAATCAAGCCTCTGTTGGTTGGAGATAATTTGATTATTGCTGCCTCGTTGTGGCTGGACTGAGTGCTGGGAATAAAGAGGATGTGTGTAACTGGTCGTGGTCCTTTTTTTTTTCCTGTAGAACCCCCATGGCTGGTTAATAGGTAACATACTAATGTATAGTAAACAGATAAAAAAAGTATGGTAAAAAGTAAATGGATTACTATGAGTATATTTTTATAACAAACTGCAGATATTGCAAATGATCTGTGGTTTTTAACATTGAGCCTCAATGTCAAAATCAGGTATGAATGATCTATTTTGTGTTTTCAGGGCATTTAAAAAAAATTAAATTCTTGTTAGTGTACGTGTTATGCCAATGTGTGTTGGTAATATGTGTTATATGTTCATGTATATGCACTCTGTAAATGTGGTTTATTAAAAGAACATTTCAAGTTTTGTGGTATAATGCAAGTTTGGAAGGGGATTGTCTTAAATAATAGAGCTAGAATGTGATAGACACTTGAAGTGATGTCATTTCCTGCCATCCAGTGAGGCTTTCCATTGGTCAGTTGGCTGGTAGATTTCTTGTTTAAAGCTACATAATTGTTGTTGGAATCTGACAAAATATGCATTGTGTACTACTTGTACAGTCTTTCAGTTTAAAAGACAGCAAAATTTGACACTGAACCCTGCTTGCTGGGTCATTGAAAAGGAAACTAGGGCCAATTATACGACTAGAAAGTGTCCTCTATATAATATTACACAAAAATGCTTTGGAAGAATGAAAAAAAGAACTAATAATGACAGAAATGTTTTCTTTCTATAAAACCTTTTGAAATGATGATCATGATTAACACAATATTTTGTTGAAAAGAAGCTTGCTGTATTTGAGTGAATGCATTATGAACGCAGCCTTTTTGTAAATACAAACTGTTTCACAGTATATACGTACCTTCTGCACATTTGCACACATCCCCATGGCAGATTTTATTGAGCGTTCCAGTTTCTTTTTCTGGATGGTAGAATTTCACACAGTGGTTCTCTGGAAGTACAAGAGATTTTGATAATTAAAGATGACAACCTCACACCATAGAAATAGGACAGGAGACATATTAAGACATCCAAGAAAAAACAGATCATATTTTTGTTACCAGATAGAAGTTGATGTGACCTTAGATAGAACATATCAAATCCATTGCTTGGTTCAACTTATCTATTAAAAAGAGTAGAATAAGAAACCAAAATCCACACTGACATGGATAAGCTGTAAGATATGTATCACTTTTCATGAAATCATGTTGGGCTTAACTAGTAGTAAGTGTGACCACCTTGCCCCATGGCACATGAATCAAGTATGATGGTCTAGTATGTTGCTGTTGAACATGCTAACCAAACCTTTTTGAATGTTCATTTGGGTTCCTATTTGGTGAATGTGAAAATCTATGCAACACTGAAGGAATGCCCATATGATCCCATATGTAGACAATAGTACCTATAGTGTGTATGACTAAAGGTAGAGCATTGTTCTTTTTTAGCCATTAGTCAGCAGCCATATCACCCTGCAACTCACTGCAACTGGCAACCTGCTAAAGCTAAGCAAGTGTGAGCCTGGTCCAGTACCTTGATGGGAGATCTCCTGGGAAAAACTAAGGTTGGTGCTGGAAGAGGTGTTAGTGAGGCCAGTAGGGGGAACTCACTCTGCAGTCAATCAATCACAGTTTAGTTATCAAACGTACAACAATACAATATGCAGCTGTAATTGCTGGCCATGAAATGACTTTTCTGCAAGCTCACCAGGGGGAAATAAAATTAAAAATCACAAAATTAAAAGTTACAGAATAAAGTTACATAAAAACAGTCCAGAAAATGAATAAAAAAAAACTCAATATAAATAGAACTGCTACAGATCCAGGGTGTTTGCAATACATTATGTTCAAATAGTGCAATATGCACTGTGCCACATATAATGGAAAACTGTACGTCCATGTAACCTGAACGTTTAACAAGGACCATTAGGTTGGTTGCTGAAGGTAACTGCAGTCTGTGTAGGTCCTAATGCTCCAGTATGGGACAGGGACACTATACTGTAAAAAGGTGTCATTCTTCGAATGAAACGTAAAAACCAAGGTCCTGACTCTCTGAGGTCATTAAAAATCCCAGGGGGTTTCTCGAAAAGAATAGGGGTGTTACCCCGGTGTCCTGGCCAAATTTCCCATCACCAATCATGGCCACCTAATAATTCCCATCTATGAATTGAATTAATTTCTCTTTTCTCCTCCCAATAGACAGCTGGTACTTGTGCACTATGACTGCCTCCACATTGTCCAGGTGGATGCTGCACTTTAGTGGTGGTGGAGGAGAGTCCCCATTACCTGTTCAATGGAGTGTCCCAAAAAGCGCTTATAAGTGTAAGGAATTATTATTATTAATACATAATCAATGTATCCACCAGGCTTCACAGTGGAAAAGGGACTGGTTGCAAGTTTTTGATCACATAGTACAAGATCTGATTGGAATTTGTCGAGTGCAGAAAACTCAACTACTTGTCCGTCACTAAAATTATCATTTGCCGTAATGCAGTTATTTGCACATAAATCTCCATTGAAATTGTAGACCCAGCAGGAGGTGTCTGATTCTAAGTATTATCTTGCTATAGAAGATAGGGCTGTAATGGAGTGGTATGTGGGACCTCCAAAGTCTGCCATAACAGTTCTTATTTGCACAGTATCTGTAACCATAAACCAGCTGACACTCTTTCCATTACCTGAACAGGAATTGAAGTGACAGAGCATTGACATTTTAACCTTTGTTAATTTAAAGCCAAAACAGTGAATCCCAGAGTTAAATCTGTTTATGGCATCAAATCATCTTATAGCCTTGTTTCACATATTAACAACTAAGTCTTTTCATTCTTCAAAAAATTACAAAAGATTAGTGTAACAATATTTGTTACTCTTGAACTGAAAACTAGTCTAAATTAGACAATTATTTTGTATGTTGAGCAGCATACAGTAGTTAATTAGCATTTAGTTCAATAAACAAACTGTAAAAAAAAAACTTTAGAAAGTAACTTTTCTAAAATGCATTTCTTAAAGACTATAATGTTTGGAAAATGTCAACAGACATTGTGTTAGGTAAGGTAAATCTGCTCTTCCAGCCTAATACTGTCTAACAGTCTAATACTGTCCAAATTGTTGACTATGCCTTTTTGCAAATTAAATATATTTAAGTGTTCCTTTTTTATTGGTTTTATTTATTTTATTTAATATTGTACCATTACCATTTGCATAGTATTCATAGATTGTCACAGCAGCAGGCTGCATTAAACCAACTTCATTGATCTTGTGGACTTTGAAAGCAATTCTATCGGGGATCTTGTGAGAGACCTGCACAAAGAGAAAACATTTCATGAGAAAATATTGTAACTCAAAAGACTTAAATGGTTATAACTTTAAACTTTAATTTACATTCCTGTTTACATTTGTAATTTTAGGTTATTTCATCCTAGTCTTAAAATATAACATAGAACTTCAAAAGAGCCTTTGGAGGCTATAAAATATGTTAAGACTGAGGAGACAGTAAAGATGCTAATCATGTATTTTTGTCAAAATGGCTTGTCGGTACAAGTAAGTTTCACTAAGCATTTACTAATGTTACATCCATTCTCATAAGACTCTGAAAGCCACGTCTCTTTAACACCTATGATGACATAGTGTTACAGTATATCAGCTTCCAATTTGTTAGTGGCCATTTTGGGGAGATTAGTCATCCTGTCTACTCTGTTCCAAAAAACATGCATCAAAGTTCAGCAGCTAGCCTCTACTGTGTTGCAATACTTGATTGTTTTCTACAAGACTGTTGTGATACATTTTGCTCTCATTCTTTATTATGGAAGCTGTCTAATAGAGTGTAAAAACTAACTTTACCCAAGACACTGAGTTCAGAATGGTTGAGACCTTTCAAAAGAACTCAGGAAGCAGTGAGAGCTGAATGTCAAAAGGTGAAAGCAGACTGTGTGGACTAGTCTAGGTCCTAAGGGGAGTTATGTCAAACCAGCAACATTGAAGTTGTATAATCTGGTGTATGTATATCATAAGGCTATTGTGCCATTGTATAGGCATTGTGTAGTGTGCCTCAAACACTTCAGGAACATTAAAGAGGCCATCTCGGTGGTGTCTATGACCAAGTGAGCTGTGCTACTTTGACAGTTCTTCTCGGTGCGTGTACTCCTGGCGAAATTTCCAAATTTGGCATCCTGGCCAAATTTCCCATTAGCCCTTACCAATCATGGCTTCCTAGTAATCCCCATCTATGAATTGGCTTCATTACTCTGCTCCCCACTGATAGCTGATGT